CCACACAAGGCAGCCCCCGAGCCGCGGCGCGGAGCGGCTCCCTCCATGGCAGCCGCCCGGAGCGCAGCTCGCAGGCAGACGCCAGCCCCAGCCCCATGTGAACGCACACTGTAGACACACTGCACGGGTACGTGGTAACGGAGGCATCAACGTGCTGTATGGGAATGTACATGTTTGCAGGAGCTGAGGTTACTTTGGCTTTTCTTGCCTTTTTTTTTTTTATGCATAGGGAAGGGGTGAGCGCTGAGATTTATGACCCTTATTAAAATATTTTTGCTTTGCAAGGGTGGGACACTGGTTGTGCAGTCTATTTTGAGCTAGACTAAATAAAATGGATTGAATGATTTGTAATTGTAGCTATGCTTGTGACTGAGGGATGCTGCTTTGCATGCTGTTTTATTTACTGGGTGCTGTCTTGTGGTTTTCTTCTTTAGGAGACGTGGGGGGGGGTGCTGTGTGTTTCTGGAAGGCCAAAAGGAAACAGTATTGTTGTAGAAATGTGCATAAAAGCATTTCAAAGATGCTGTAAGGCATACTCTTCTCTTTTTCCCTTTTTTTTCCTTGTAGGCCTATTGATTGTGGCTGCCTTTAACCCTTTCATATTTGCAGAGGTAATGCGTCTGTGACAGTAACTGAGCGTTGGCTAAAATATCTTTCAAAGGTCAAGGTTCACAAGGTGAGACGCGATGTTTGGGGTATGAATATAACAATAGCATGCGAGTACATGGATATGAAAAGTAAATGTGGCTCCTGAGTGCACACTTGGCACGCTGGTGAGGAGACAATGGTTTAAATGTTAGCAAAGAAATACCATTAACCTCTTCCAGGTTTAATAGGATTAAAGCTATTATTTGTAAAGACCTACCGATACCTTGGCTAAATACAGTACCTTTGTTTCAGTATCACATGTCCAGACACCCGTTTTTTTCACAATGCAGGCATAAAGAGCAGGCCTCTGAGTGACAGTCGTAAATCGTGGACCACATGGCCGCGGCGGCTCCGCGCTGCAGCCCTGCACCTTCGCGTGCTGCCGGCGCTCCGAGCAGGGCTGCCGGCCCTGAGGTCCTTACTGTTAAACACCTACTTAATACTGCCTACCTTGGAAAACGTCTCAAATAAATAGTGCGGATGGGGTCCCCTAAACTGCTTGAACCCTGGCAGGATTTTGCAGCCGAGTGAAAAGATGTGATTTGGAGGTTTGATGGAGCTTCAGTGGATTACTAGTGGCATGAATTATAATATTGTGCAATAATGAAATAAGATTAGGAAACTGGATGGGCAGTGCAGCAGCTCCTGAGGGATGGCTCCTTCTAACTCAGAGCTTCACAGCAATGGATAATGGATAGGATTTTTTTTTCTTCATCTAAAAAATAAATGTGTACTTAGATTTGGGCTGGCATTTGCATCTTATCCTGAAAGCTGGAGGATTCAGAGAGAGGGAGAGGGGGAGAGAGAGAAGGAAGCAATAATGAATATAGCAAAGGGAAGAACAAAGGCTGCTAGAGCTTGCACACTGGAACACTAAACATTTGCCTTGGGGATTCTCCTGCTAGAACTGCTACTTCCTATAACAGGAAATCAGCAACTCTAGAATCTCATCCAGTACGATTTAAACGAAATCTAACCAGCCCTGGCTGCTAGCTGGTGTGGTAATCTACAATCAAGATAAATATGGAGGAAAAGCATTGAAAATGTTTTAGTCTAGTGTGCAATGAGGGTCTCTTCCTCTGTGTTCAGGAAAATAAGATAGACAGCATTAAAAGCCTTGAGAGAGTGTGGATATTTGGTAAGTTGGATGTGAGCTGATGATAGGTAGGGTGTCTGCATCAAAGACTGACAAATAAAAGGGCACCTTTTTATTTCTGGCTGCAGCAGATTACATAAGGCATTCAGGAATGAATTGTAGCCGAGTGGAAGTAGCATGCTAATGTCTAGCCTGAAAATGTATTTGTGTGGTTTTTAATGTGGGTAGAATGTATTGTTTCTCAGATTTTATAGGGCAGTCAATAGCATGAGTGGTGGAGTAAAATGGCTAGCAGATCACAATGCTTATTTCTGTTCATATTTTTCATAATTCAATGCAGAGGTTCTATATTTGACTATAGGCATCTGTAGCAGAATTAAGCTTGCAAACATGGATTCATGGTGCATGATAGGAACAGTATATATTGCTGCTGCTGATGCTTGCTCTTTTCCAAGTGTCAGCTAAAATTCATATGTTACATGAGAGCACCTTTTAGCCTTTTTTTTTTCTTTCCTTTATCAGAATAGTAAGCTGCTTTGAAATTGTAAGTACTCGAATTGTCACAAAATTCAGTGTATCTGTTTGATTTGGATTTTGGAACAAGATCCGTACTAGAAAATTTTTATTTTTGGCACAGGAGCTTTTGCATTTGCAGCGATTTTTTAGGTTGTAGGATGAGAAAGCTGAATAGATGCTGGAGTCTGCAGTATACTTGGTGAGTTTTATTTTGTTCGGATTAATAATATTCATAAGCTCTCTTTACCAGATTGTGATTCTGTACATAGGCCAGCTTTCCAATGGAAAATGCTGCTAAATGTTGGAGGGCTGGTCCTCCGTATCAGCAATCATGATCTCATCTTGCACTGAGTCTGGTCTCCGGTATTTCGTCTTGAAAGTAAGGGTTATGATTTATCAAGTTCCAAGTTGTTTTTTAGTGAATTAAGTAGATTTGTTTTTCTTAAAGGTATGACTGCATGATATAATATAAATATGTGTGCTGATTCCTGGGAGTAAACGTTAATCCTGGTGTTTAGGGCCTGTTTGCTGCTCGAGCTGCACAGCCCGGCCCTGCCTGCCCTGCAGTGCTCGCACTGAGACTGTCTGCAGCTGCTTCATGCTGTTCTCAAGAATTGCCATTCACTTTTGAAAAAGAATATATTAACCTGAGTAGAGGAGATAGGCGTGAAGAAAGAGTGATTTAGGGTGTGATTTGAATTTGCATTAAATTGGGAATCTCAGCATTCTGGTCACCATTGCTGCTCATCCAAGTCATTCTCATGTTACCGTCCCAGGCTATTTTACATACAAAAATACACAACTAAGGAAATGGTTTTTATAATCCATTCTGTAGTAGCATGCAAAAAGAGTGGTTTGGTTTGTCTGCTTCATGAATTCTTCTTCATTTTAAGAGAAATTCAGGAAATGGCTGGGCCGGGCTCTGCCCGCGGCTCTCGCGGCCATGCGGCCCCTTCTTCCTCTTTGCCCTCTGCGCTCTTTTCCTGAAATGTTTTATCTAGCACCCGCCTGCATACATACAACTCAACATATTTGAAAGATTGTTCAATACTTTCCTTCCTAAGTATATTTTTTCTTTTCTTTTCTTTTTTTTTTTTCTGGGAGACTGTGAGGAGGGAAGGAAATGGATGGAACATTCTCTTTGAAAACCAGGGGTCCAAGTTCAGGTTTCTGCTCCTTATGGAAATTTTGAGTCTCTCAAATGTGTACACGTCTCAAGATGGATAAAAATCCACGGGTTGGCATGACTTTATGGATACTATGGATGGTAAATGATCCCTTTATCTAGAGAAACCAAAGTAGTGCCTGTTGTGAAGGCTGGGTTCCTGGAAGCGGGCCTGTTTGTGTCCCCTTCGGCAGTAGCGGATCGCGGCATCCTTGATACGCGCGAGGGGCGGTGTTGGCTGCCTGTGCGGCCGGTGGCCCCTTGCCCGTCCTGCTGGCCCGCGCGCCGCGGCCCGCGCTGAGCCACGGCCTCCGGTGTGCTCGCGTTTCCTGGGCAGCCTGGCTGCTTGAGCTACCTTTGGCATTTCTGAGGTACTCAGCTTTTAATGTAAATAATGAGAAGTGTTAATCAGGCATCAGTACTCATATATGTTGAATAGCTAATCAACTCTTTATAAGCTGTGTTTTAAGCTAATATTTGCCTAATGTTAGGATGTATTAGCGTCATCCTGATTGGGATGCTTAAGTCTTCTTCACATGGTGAAATTTATTGGCATAACAGTACAGAAATTAAAAAATAAAAAATATTATGCCAGTGTTACTCCATGTATGGGCATTTTGTTCCAGAATGAATGTGATGTTTTTCAGGTGTAATCACCTGTGTTCAGAAGCAGAATATTACACTGGACTATCAGAATTTTATTCTGGAATAGGATGTCTACCTGGAAGTTGATTCCAGCCTGACTGTAGTATCATTATGTGTAGCCATGCCGGAAATTGAAAAATGTTGTCCCAATGCTGTTGTTTTTACAGTACCAAAAGGATACTAATCTCCTTTAGGAAATATACATATTGAAAGAAATGATCTCTGTCCTAAGAAACAGAGTTACAACAGTATATAATGCAATATGAGGTAAGAAACCTTGGAAGGGTTTCTTTTACTGAAGGTGTTTTAGGGAAGTTAAAAGTCTGTAGTTACAGCAATGTGACTTCCATTGGTAGGTGCAAGTTAACGTGTTGATTTTTTTCCTGTTTCTTTAGATAATAAGCAGACTTACTACTGAAAGAAGCTTGCTTTGAGTAATTTGAAATAGAGCACGTAGAAATGCACATAGTGGGCATAGGCAGGAGGAATTTGTGGGCAAGGGTTAGGAAGTTGAACTTGATGCAGCAGAAAAGAGGGGATCAGTAAAGACAGTTAAAGTGACTTTGCAGTGTCCCTAGGCTTGATGGGGGAAGAAGGACTGGGATGTGCAGCAGTGAGAGTGGAGGGAGGATAGGCTGGGTGGCTGGCCGGCTCTTTAAAGGCACTTGATGGAATAAAGGAGCAAAACCGAGCATGCAGGCTGTGCTTGGGATCCAGAAAAGGTTGTTGGAAACCTCTAGGCATAGAGAGTGTCCGTTGTCCCAGTCCTGACAAGGCGGGGGGATTATCCATCCCTGCTGCGAGATGTGGAGAACCTGGAGCTGGTTGTGTCCCCGGCGGACGGAGCCCGTCACGAGGGCCGCGAGAGGAGCCCGCGCGGGTCCCTGCCGCAGGAGGGGCCTCCTGCTCCCAGCATGGGGGTGCAGGTGGCCCGGGAGCATGGGGAGCACAGCAGGCCTCAAGCCCAAACCACAGGATGAATCATACCTGAAAAGATAAGGGAAAAGGTTTTCCTCTGTGGTTTTTCTTTCTTCCCCTTTGATGGAGTCTATGAAGAGGGAGGTTTGTGTGTGTTTTCTCTCCGATGGCCAGAGGCCTTCCACCTGGAAACGGTCGCGACGCGGGGCCTGAGCAGGAGGGACAGCAACCACCTCTGTAAAGCGTCTCCGCTAGTTGTTCAGAAGCAGCTCCCTGCTCCCGAGCCCTGGTGCTTCTCCTGTGCTACTCAACCTCAGAGCATGTTTACGTGCTCTGCGTGTCCTGCTGGAGCAGGGGGTGGGACTAGATGGTCTCTAGAGGTGCCCTCCAACCTCAATCACTCTGGGATTCTGGGAATCTGTGATATTGAGCCTTCCTCCCATCCAAGGAAACAATGCCTGGAAGAAGATTATGTTCCAAAACGGTCTCTGAAATCTCTGACGACACGGTGGAAGCTCCCAGATAGGCCCCTGTTTTGCAGACTGTCCCCCACCTTTCTGAAGGTCGGCCTGTTCACACCTCTGGATACAGCCTTGGGCTTCCTGCCTCATAAGCCCCGTAGATTTAAGAGATAGACTGGGTTTTGTGGGCATAGTGGAGAAGTCTTGTCCTGCTTTCTTCTTCCAGTGTCAGTAGACAGTTCTCTGGGATTGGTTCCTGTTTTGACACAATTATCCAAATGACTAGTTCCCTGGAATGCATTAGCAGAGGGAATGGAGTAAAACGGGCAACTGGAGGCTAAGGCAGCAGAACAATAAAGCAGTATCTTCCCTGGGCCGAGAGCTGGGTGCTGCTGTCCGGGCCGTTCAGAGGAAGTACTTCTGTCAGGGTGTACATTGCCAAAGGAAGGGAAATGTGGAAGAAAACAAAAAACAGAGCAATCCTAATTTCTCTCCCAGAATTTAATTCAGATCTTACATTTCAGTAAGGTACTAATATGGCTGCATGGATAAACTTTATCCCCAAAGAGGTGAAGAGTGATCATAAGTTGTATCCATGGATGTTTCAGAATCCCCTGTGTTCCTGTGTTGAGTTTGTGAGGCCCCTGGTAGGCTTGCACAAGTCTTGGCATCCGTCATCAAAAAGAAGAACCTAGAAGTTCTTCACTTGTTCTGCACTTTGCTCAGTGCTCCAGCTGTCTTGTTTCTCTTGGTCATATCCAGGAGCCTTTTTATTTTTTTTCCTAGTGTCATTGAGTAATTTGTAAGCAAAATAACATCTGAATTCTTAGAGAAAATGATTTTTATTTTTTTTTCTTGAGCGTTTCAAGCAGGCTGGAAGCTGTAAATCTTCAGTGAGAGCGGTAGCAGTTTCCAGGAGGTTTTTCCAGTAGGCATCAGCAGGCAGCCAGGCAGGTGGACGGGAAGCGGGGCTGTCCACGGAGTTCGGGGGTTCTTACAGAGTGCGGCTGTGCCATGAAGATGGAGTGGTGCTTTGGACACGTGGGTTCACTGCGTGTAAGAGCTGGCTTTCCTTTCAGCACCCCTCACATTAGAGGGGTTTTATTTTTGGTAATTTATGCCCTAATCTAGACAACGTGATTTATAATAATGCTTCAGGTTAGCAGTTCCCCATTCTGAGGCAGGTTTGGTTTCTTTTAGGTAGAAATAGCAGCAGCCTTTAGTTTCTTAACTAAAAATAAAAAGAAAATCCTTTTTTAGAAAGATATTTGAGGAGGTGGAATTTTTGCTGTTTGTTTCATAAAATTTGTTTGTTTGTTTATTGTGAGGAGTGTGTC